CTCCACATAACAATTAAAAGTTTTTATGGGAGAATTCAATCATACACGCTATGATTATAATTATAATTTAAAGTTCAAAGGACTAAACATGCCGAAGCATTTGTATCTTTTAAATTCGGACTTGTATTGAACATTTGGTGCACAATTAATTTGAAATCGGATAAATATATATATGGGAGCTATATCCAAATCTGAACCGATTTCGATAAAATTTAACAAATGTATTTCTGAGCTGTATTTGATATATTTCCCTGAATATCGTTGTTACGGAGTGCATATTACGGCTGTGGGTAACAAATATAACAAATCGGATGAACAGTATATATGGGGGCCATAGCTATATCTGAACCGATCTTTACCAAATTTGACATACTAGCTTCTAGACTCAACTCGGTCGTAAGTGCCAAATTTTATCCCATTTGGGCAAATATTAGACGTTTGGTGCACAATAAAAGGTAAATCGGACGAAGTTATATATGGGAGCTATATCCAAATCTGAACCGATCTCGATAAAATTTAGCAACTGTATTTCTGAGCTGTATTTGATATATTTCCCCAAATATTGTTGTTGCATAGTGCATATTACGGCGGCGGTGGACAAAAATAACAAATCGGATGAACAATATATATGGGAGCTATAGCTATATCTGAACCGATTTCGATCAAATTTGGCATACATATTTTCAGGCCTAATTTGGTTGTATGTGCAAAATTCCATACAATTCGGGCTGATATTACACGTTTGGTGCACAATAAAAAGCAAATCGGACGAAGATATATATGGGAGCTATATCTAAATTTTTACCGATTATCTCCAATTTCAATAGGGTTCGTCCTTGGGCCAAACAAATGATCTGTGCAAAATTTCATCTGGATCGGGCATTAAATGCGACCTGTACTTTGTTTACAAAAATACATGGACAGACGGACAGACGGACGGACGGACGGACGGACAGACGGACGGACGGACATGCATAAATCGACTCAGAATGTGATTCCATGCAGATCATCAAAAGGAACTATGGGTCTATCTCGTTTCCTTTTGCCTGTTACAAACAAATGCACAAAGACATAATACCCTGACCACCTTGTGGTGTAGGGTATAAAAAGGGCCATAGATGAGTAAAGATAGGACAAGACAGAGTCAGGATATGGCAACCCTGTGAAAATACCTCTGTTGTTACGATATCGTCATGGTAGAAAAATACAGTTAGATGCATCAACACTTCGACACATTGTTATGTGAAAAATATTGTAAATGTTTTCTTTCAAATATAAGTAGATTTTTATATGTTTTCTTATACGACGTCATTCGGAGGTTATTATAATTCGCGTTTTTCAACAATTTTTACAAATTTAAATAATTTTTCATTCAATATTTTCAATTGCAAAATTGGTTTGACAGTTCATTGTCCCAGCACAGCTGTGTCGATGCGTCTACCTATATTCTTCTACTTCTTCGTAGATAAATAAATGAGTTCTAGGTTGACTTAGTTCGATTTTGGCCTTAGGCTCCTTTGTTCATTTCCGAAGAAGCCAGTCAGATAAGCGTTTTATGTATTCTCACCTTCTACTTCTTCGTAGATAAATAAATGAGTTTTAGGTTGACTTAGTTCGATTTTGGCCCTAGGCTCCTTTGTTCATTTCCGAAGAAGCCAGCCGATGACGTAAGCCAGTCAGATAAGCGTTTTATGTATTCTCACCTTTAGATTTTTTTTATTTTTTCTTATTTTTTTCAATAAATTCTTATTATTTTTTAACTTACTAAAGCCTAAAAAAATAAATGCAAATATGTTTTTTTGTTCATTATAAATGCAATTACATTTCGAGAGAAAAATAAGAAACATATAAATAAATGCACATTATATTGGAATGGTATCAAGTTTGGTATACTTCATTTCTACATATATATATATTTTTGAAATTAAATTACACAAAATTTATTGTAAAAATTTTGTTTTTTTTTTTGGAAAACATTGTGAACAATAATTAATAAGAAAGTTACATTTTATTACCAAAAATTTTAATTATTTTTACCATTTTTAATATTTGATTTTATTTTTATTTTTAATTCAAATTTAAATATTTTTTTTATTCCAACTTAAAATTAAGTTTATTTTTTGTATTTTTTTTTATTCTTTGGTATATATATATATAATAATATAGTGTAAGTATTTGTTTAACAATGTCACTTTTTATAAATACTTACATATAAACAAAAGTTAATTGTAATCCCTGTTTATATAAATTAGGAATAGAATTTTCCGTGTGTTTTTTTTGTTGATTTCATGTGATAAGTAACAGTTTGTCAAGAAAGATTTCTAATAATTTTTAAGAAAAACTCGTCAGAGAGCGTTTACATCATGGTATAATTAAAAAGGTAAAGTCATGCAATCCTATGTTTACAATTTCTTTCAAAATTACTCATTTGAAAAAATCTTATTGTCAAATTGCAATATTTAGTAATTCAGAGAATCAAAGATGGGAACCCGTTTTCTATGCAGTGAAATTTAACAAGGTAATTTACAGAAAATGCAGAGATGGATATGCTTATTTGAAATTACTTTAAGTTCTTAATTTTTCCATGGTTTATTTTTACACAAATAACGTCAATATAAACTCTTAAGGCTAAAACACAACAAAACCTAAATTCTGATTTCGGCGTGGAAGTACAACACTGTTGCTATTTTTGGCTGCACGAAACGGGAAAATACAACACTGCTGTCTACCGAAGTCATGATTGTAGATTTGATCTGTTTTAGTCTGAGATGAAAAAAACTGCAACCAACTTCAGACTGCTGTCATTTCTAAGTCACTCGTCCGACAGCTCTTAAAATTATTCCAGTGACAGCTCATTATATTATTTACAAGCGTACAAAAGCATTTTGGTGAGAATTTTCCCGGAAAAAAGTTATTCGTGATGGAATTCAAGCGTGATTTTTTTATACAGGTTAAGATGAAAAACTGCAACCAACTTCAGACTGCTGTCACTTCTAAGCCACTCGTCCGACAGCTGTTAAAATTATTCCAGTGATAGCTCTTTATATTGTTTACAAGCGTACAACAGCATTTTGGTGAGAATTTTTCAGATGGAATTCAAGCGTGATAGTGTGATTTCTTAATATTTGGCTGGAAAACCACAACTGGCTATCGTTAGAGTACTCCAGCATTTAAATGCGAACCAATCGTTTGTGTCTTAAACCATAGCTCGTTATTGCGACACCTGTAGCGTAGCCCGGCGTCAAGGAAGTGGACGGAAGAAAATAACAACATTAGCAGAAATGGTTCGAAAAGTAAAGAAGCGACTTGATCGAAACCCACGTCGCAGTGGCCGAAAAATAGCTTGTGAGCTGAACATATCGCAATATTCCATTTGGCAAATATTGAAAAATGAGCTCGGGGTAAAACCATTGAAATTCCAAAAAGTGCAAGAACTTACACCGCAACAGAAAGAAAATAGACTCAAAAGAGCTAAAGAGTTGCATCGCTTGGCTGAAAGTGGTGAACAGCCGAACTTGGTTTTCGTGATCGAAACCCGCATCGCAGTGACCGAAAAATGGATCGTCAGCTGAACATGTCGCAATATTCAATTTGGCAAATATTGAAAAATAAGCTCGGGGTAATGCCATTGAAATTCCAAAAAGTGCAAGAACCTACAACACAACAGAAAGAAAATAGACTCAAAAGAGCTATAAAGTTGCTTCGTTTGGCCGAAAGTGGTGAAATGTCAAATTGTCCAGCAGTTTGTAAACAAACAAAATGATCGTGTTTACTTGCCAAAGAGGTCAGCTGAAAATGTGCACCTTCGGTTGCCCGGCCACCAGAACTCAAACGCCGGCCATGGTGATGGTGTAGGCCGCCATAATAGCCAATGGTCGTTCTCCGCTCGTATAAATCGACCGTGGCATCAGAATAAATGCCGAATGTTATTGCGAAAATATTCTGGAGGGTGTATTAAAGCCATTGCACCATTGCACTCAGCACGCGCCACCCAAGAGTGGTTACAAAATGTGGTTCCTCGCTTCATTCACAGCGCCCAATGGCCACCAAAATCTCCGGATACCAATCCGTTAGACTCCATTGTGTCTGGAGTATTTTGAAAAGCTAGGTTGGCGCACTAAAAAATACCAAAGTGTCGATCACCTCAAGCAAGCGCTTCGCCCTGAATGGGCCAAAATACCACAGAGCAACATTCGGACAGCGTGTGACGGTTTCATTGGCCGTTTGAAGACCATAATTCGTGCCAAAGGTAACCAATTCGAAACAAATCTAAACTTATTCTAAAATTGGATGCTATTTCCAACATTTTTTGCCTTCGTTCAAATAAATTTAAAAAAAAATTTAAAAATTATGGCGTTTGACTTTGTTCCATTTTTTTTATCTTATCTCCTGTAAAAGAATACATTGTTTAAAATTGTTGTCAAAAATAAGTAGATTTTTATATGTTTTCTTATACGAAGCCAATTGCAGGTTATTATGATATGCAATTGTTAAAAGACTTTACAAATTTCAAAAATTTTTCATTATACCTTTTTAATTTCAAAATTGGTTTGACAGTTCATTGTCACAGCAACTGTGTCGATGCGACTACCTGTATTCTTCTATAATGATATTACGTCAATGTAAACACTTTAAGTCTGTTTACACATAACGATCAATTTCATAGCGCATTTATACTATTGCCGATTAATCCACTGGGTTAACCTTGTTTGTGCGTTTACATTCCCCCTTAGGAACATGGTAGAAGAATAGGGTAGTCGCATCGAAACAGCTGCTTGGGACAATGAACTGTAAAACCTATTTTCGAATAGAAAATGTTGAATGAAAAATTATTCAAATTTGTAAAAATTATTGAAAATGCATATCAGAACGACCTCTGATTTGCGTCGTATAAAACAAAACATATAAAAAACTACTTATTTTTGATAAAATATTTTTGGAGACATCAATGTTACCATGGTAGAAGAATACAGGTAGATGCATCAACGCTTGGGAGCATGGATGTGTCAAAAAATTTTAAATGTTTTTTTTAAATATAAGTAGATTTTTCTTATAATTCAGGATTTTCAACAATTTTTAGAAATTTAAATAATTTTTCATTCAACATTTTCAATTCCAAAATTGCATTGACAGTTCATTGTCCCAGCAGCTGTGTCGACGCGTCTACCGATATTCTTCTACCATTAATGTTACCGAACTTTGATGCATCTACCTGTATTCTTCTACCATACTTAGGAGGATACAAAGTGGAGAATGCATAAAGGTGGGAATACATAAAGCGCATATTTGGCTGGTTTAAGTCATCGGCTAGCTTCTTCGTAGAGAAACAAAGGAGTTTTAGGTTGGCATAGATCGATTTTGTTCCAAGGGCCTTTTTTTCAGCGTAGAGCCAAAATCAAACTAAGTCAACCTAAAACTTCTTTCTTCCTCTATGAAGAAGCCAACCCATAATTTAAGCCCGCCAAAAAACGTTTTATGTACTCTCACCTTAAGACGATTTCTTGAATTGTCTTTTACGAAATATGATCTTTTTTGACAAACTGCATTAATATATATATTTTTTTGTTTTAAAAACATATAGTAAACACAAAGTTGCAAATAGTAAACTTATAGTTTTTCTCAAAAAGGAAAATAAACTTAGAGATAAATATAGCGCTTAAAAAGCGTAATCACTTTATGTTTTAAATAAGAATAAAATTATTTTAGTTTGTTTTGTAACTTTAAGGTTATTATTTCATTTTTCTTTCTTGCTTTCTTTTGGAACCATTAAAAACCTGTAAGGGTATATCATTGTTTTTCAAAACTTTACTTTAAGTGCTCTTCTTTTTTTCCATTTTATCATTAGTATTATTATTTTTTATTTATATTTTTTTGTTTCGTCAGAGTTTCTCTATCTGGGAAACCATTTAAAGCTTAAAAAGTTCTTTAAGACGCAACTGTCAAATGTTTTCTTTTTTTTTTTGGTTTTTTACTTTATTTTAAAAATATTTATTGGCAACTCTGCCCCCCGCTTCTATACATACTATTTATTTACTCACATTTCTCCACGTGCTTCTTCTTCTTCTTTGTCTTCTTCTTCAATATAACGCTTTACATATAATTATATACCGTTTGTTATGCTATATCTCGTACAATTTCAATTTTATCAAACATATCGGAATCGGGTGGTATTGTCGTAAAGTGGGTACGATCGCTGCGAAAGGTATTGCGTTCATTTGAGCTGGTCTTCAGAGAACGTTCTGAGGGTGTTTCGGTGCCGCTTAGTTGTATACGTTTTTGTAGAGCTGAAACAAAGTTCTGGAAGAAGAAACAACATTTTAAAAATAGGGTATAGGTATAGTTAAGTAAGATAAAATAAACACAGCCTCTCTATAAATAAAATGTCAAAAATTTTTAAAGGTTTTTTTTTCAAAAATAAGTAGATTTTTATATATTTTCTTATACGACGTCAATCGGTTTTTTCAACAATTTTTACAAATTTCAATAATTTTTCATTCAACATTTTCAATTCCAAAATTGATTTGACAGTTCATTGTCCCAGCAGCTGTGTCGATGCGACTACCTATATTCTTCTGTCATGCGATTAACAAACAATCATGCATTTTGACAGCATGGTAGGGATCAGCTGATCTAAAAGTACGTTTACATACATATCTTTATCGGGTTTACATTAAAGCCTTTGGATGGGAGGATTTATTTGATATATGCTATGGAAATGGTAGATTTCAGAAGGTAAAGTCGCACAGAAAAATCTTTGTCATAGGCAGTACTACCCGTTACGAACTTTGAATACGAAATTTGAAACAATTCGGATCGCTAAAATCACCAAAATACCGAAAATAGGTAGGTACCATTATAAGGGGCCCATACCAAAACGTGGACACGCATGGACAATTTTCTGTCACAGGATACAGTATCCATTACGAACTTCAAATACCAAATTTGAAACATTTCCGATGATATCGGGAGGTACCATTATATGGGGGCTATACGAAGGCGTGGACCTGCACAGATAATTTTCTGTCTTATGCTGCAGTATTCCTTATGAACTTCAAATACCAAATTTGAAACAATTCCGGTGAATAAGGTCGCTAAAATCACCAAAATACCGAAAATATGGAGGTACCATTATTGGGGGCTATGCGAAGGCGTTGACCTGCACAGATAATTTTCTGTCATAGACTGTAGTATCTATAAGGAACTTCAAATACCAAATTTGAAACATTTCCGGTAAATAATGTGGCTAAAAACATTAAAATACCGAATATCGGGAGGTGCCGCTATATGGGGTCTATACGAAGACGTGGACCTGCACAGATAACCTTCTGTCTTAGGCTGCAGTATCCACTACGAACTTTCAAATACCAAATTTGAAACAATTCCGGTGAATAGTGTTGCTAAAATCATCAAAATACCGAATATGGGGAGTTACCGCTATATGGGGCCTATACGAAGACGTGAACCTGCACAGACAATTTTCTGCCTTAGGCTTTAGTACCCAATACAAACTTCGAATACGAAATTTCAAACTATTCCGGTAAATAATGTTGCTAAAATCATCAAAATACCGAATATCGGGAGGTGCCGTTATATTGGGGCTATACGAAGACGAGGACCTGCACAGACAATTTTCTGTCATAGGCTGTAGTATCCATTACGAACTTCAAATACCAAATTTAAAACAATTCCGGTGAATAATGTCGCTAAAGTCATTAAAATACCGAATATCGGGAGGTACCATTATATGGGGGCTATACGAAGGCGTGGACCTGCACAGAAAATTTTCTGTATTAAGCTGCAGTATCCATTACGAACTTCAAATACCAAATTTGAAACAATTCCGGTGAATAATGTCGCTTAAATCATCAAAATACCGAAAATAGGGAGGTACCATTATATGGGGCTGTACCAAAACGTGAACCTACACGGCCAATTTTCAATACCAAAAGTCCTGCAGACATAATATACATTTGAGTAAAATTCTATCAAACTACTTTATTTTGTTTGGAAGCTACAGTGATTTCTACAGACGGACGGACATACCTATATCGGCATAGAATTTTATGCTGGGCATTAAAATGTATATTTCGAGGTGCTACAAACGAAATCACAAAGCTAATACACCCACCATAGAATGGTGGAGGTTTATATAGCCTCAATTTGGTTATGTAACTTTTTTTGGCCATAGGTCATGTCATGCTTGTGTAAACATGGCTTAAGCATATTATGTAGGGTACACACTATCAAACTAACCATACATTTCACTTACCTGCGATATAATATCACCCCTGGCAGTGCGTACTTGATATAAATAACGGAATTTTCGTTGTCTCGCCTCTTCGCGGGTTTCACGCGGCCGCGATTGCATGCGCGCCAATTGTTGATGTCGTTTCTGAAAGACCCGCTTACGATGATCAATGCCCCAGGCTGTGATGAAACTCTGAATCATTAGACCGATAATTATGCTCACGGGCCAGGCAAATATCAAGATGCCACCATAGCAGGCGGGAGGATTTGGATGGGGTTTCATATTGAATAGCTGAAATTAAAAAAAAAGGGAAATAGTAAAACTTATAGGGGGAAAATGAAGAGAACATAAATAAAAATAATAGTTTCTTTAAGCTGCTCTCTAAGGATTTTACATATGTAGTGTCAAACTTTCCATATGTAGAAGCTGTGATACATTGACGACATTTCAGTTATGAAAAATATGAGGAAAGTACATATGTATTTTTTCGATCACAGCGAGCCATATTTTCACCGGATGTCTTCTCAGTTAAAATAGAACAAAGACTCGTAGGGTGAACAAGTATAAATGTTGGGCCAACATCGAACTAAGTCAACCTAAAACCCCTTTGTTCTTTTACAAAGAAGTCAGCCAATGACTTAGGGCAGTCAAAAAAGCCTTCTATGTACTCTCACTTTTATGTGTTTTATCACTAAATTTATTTTTGACTTACCCATGTGGTCAACTGGAGGCCATGTAAAAAGAAATCCACCGAACATATGATCATCGCTGAGCCCACCACACTGGTGGTTAAGATTGTCACATACTTTGCACTGCACAGTGTAAGGACCGAACAAATGATGGCGCCACCAATCAAGGCCACTGCTATTTCGATTTGCTGGAAAGGAAAAAAACATAAATTTATTTTGAGGAACCCAAAAAAAAAATATTATTCACTAAGTGATTGATTTATTTTTCATGTTTTGAAATTTTTGAATTAATTTTATTTTTCGAATGACTGGAATTTCTTAATCTTTGTCGGAGTTAAGGTGAGAATACATAAAAGGCTTATTTGACTGGCATAAGCCATCGGCTGGCTTCTTCGGAAACGAACAAAAGAACAAAGGGCTATACCAAAACGTGGACCTGCACAGACTATTTTTTGCCATAGGCTGTAGTATCCATGGCGAACTTTCAATACCAAATTTGAAACAATTCCGGTGAATAATGTCGCTTAAATCACCAAAATACCGAATATCAGGAGGTACCATTATATGGGGCTATACGAAGACGTGGACCAGAAACAGACAATTTTCTGTCTTAGGCTGTAATATCCATTGCGAACTTCAAGTACCAAATTTGAATCAATTCCGGTCAATAATGTCGCTTAAATCACCAAAATGCCGAATATAGGGAGGTACCGTTATATGGTGGATATACGAAGACGTGGACCGGTACAGACAATTTTCTGTCATAGGCTGTAGTATCCATTACGAACTTCAAATACAAAATTTGAAGCAATTCCGGTGAATAATGTCGCTTAAATCACCAGAAAACTGAATATCGGGAGGTACCATTATATGGGGCTATACGAAGACGTGAACCTGCAAGGACAATTTTTTGCCATAGGCTGTAATATCCAATGTGAACTTTAAATACCAAATTTGAAACAATTCCGGTGAATAATGTCACTAAAATAATCAAAATTCCGAATATCGGGAGTTACCGTTATATGAGGGCTATACGAAGACGTTGACCTACATGGCCCATTTTCAATACCAAAAATCCTGCAGACATAATATACATTTGAGTAAAATTTTATCAACCTACTTCATTTCGTTCGGAAGCTAGAGTGATTTCCACACACGGACAGAGGGACGGACATCGCTAAATCGACATAGAATTTTATGCTGATCAGGTAAATATATACTTTGTGGGGTCTAAAATGTATATTTCGAGGTGTTACAAACGAAATGACAAACTTAATATACCCTCCATGCTATGGTGGAGGGTATAAAAATAAAGGAGTTTTAGGTTGACTTAGTTCGACCTTAGCTCATAATTTATACATGTTCGCTATACGAGTCTTTTTTCTTGTACGATTCACTCGTATGGCGAACAAGTATAAATGATGGGCCAAAATCGAACTAAGTCAACCTAAAACTCATTTCTTTATTTTTTATTTTTTTTTTTTTTTGTAAGAAGAATCCGATGACCGATAACTTAAGCCAGTCCAAAAAACCCTTTTATGTACTCTCACCTTTAGGATCCCCCTTTTTTTAACTTACCCCAAATTCATTGTCCGGCATTGTGGCAACACAGACCGCCATTGCAGCACCGGCCAAGATGACTCCGGCAAAGGCGCTTATGAAAAATGTTGCCACCGGATATGTTGAGCCCAGCACAGCACCCACTAGACCACCCACCAAAGAGGAGGCTGCATCGGCCGGTTCTCCCAAATAGCCGGTTATATAGATACGCATCATTGCCACAGCCTTAATGCCAATAAAGGCTCCGGTCAAAAAGCCCACTGCTCGTAGACAGCGATAACCTAAAAGAAACAAAAAAAAAAACAACAACAAGGAAGAGAGGTACATAAAAGAGAATGACAAAAATCCGCAATTATTGTAAGGCCTTTTTAATTAGTGTGTCAGAAAAAAAATTGTTTTATGATTACATTAAATCACGTCATTATGTTATGGCGTTTTATACACATGTGTGTGAGTGTGTGTGAACATACATAAGCCATTTCCCCCCTTTTCGTGTAAACTTTGTGTATGTTTATCACAGCATTGCCCAGGTGCTTGGTAATGTGTCAAGAAACGACCTTCAGGCATATTTTGTTGTTTAGCTCTTGAAATGTTGTTGTAAAATAGGTGAACTTTATGTGCTCTGGAGTGTGTGTCTGTCAAATTACCACTGTGGGGTGTTTTGCTTTTTTGTTTTTTTGTGGCCACATCACCCAAACACATCTTTCTCATCCATGTGTGAGAGAGAGTGAGCGAGTGAGAGGGGTGTTTGTGAGTATCCGTTATTTTTTTGTTTTGTTGTGTTTTTTTTTTTGTTTTGTGTACTCACCTAGCAGCACAAACACTATGCCAAAGACCGCACACATTGACCATAGCAGTGCATACATGGTGTCTGGTGGTGCACTGGTGCATGGATGATCTTCTAGGAAACCCTAAAAATATACCACAAGATTTATGTTAATAAGGTGTTGCCACAAGAGCAAATTTCGTTTTTTTAGTTGATGGGCAAATGATTTGAGGGCAGAAACTGGAAAGAGCAAAAAAAAGATAAAGAGTGAGGAACTAAAGAACGCAAAAAGTAAACACTTTGGGCCTTTAATATCCTGGGGGCATGAAGTTTTCCTCTGTCATGTTAAAGAATGAAGTGAAGTGTGTTTGTGTGTGTGTGTGAGGAGGTGATATATCCTTGACTCAATTTAAAACTTCATGCTGGAGATGATTTTTTTAGGGTTGAGTTTTTTTTTAAAGTTTCTATTATAAGGAAATAGAACTTCCATATTGGGCGCCACAATTTTTTTTAATGTATAGGGTGAGATAAAAAACAACTGCAACATAGTCAAAGGCCATAATTTTTAAATTTTTTTTTTTAAATTTTATTGAATGAAAACAAAAATTGTCGGAAATAGCCTCAAATTTTAGAAAAAGTTTAGATTTGTTCGAATTGTTCACCTTCGGAACGAATTAAGGCCTTCAAACGGCCAATGAAAATGTAACACACTGCCCGAATGTTGCTCTGCGGTATTTTGGCCCATTTTCGGCGCCAAAGCGCTTGCTTGAGGTGATCGCCACTTTGGTATTTTTTAGTGCGCTAACCTTGCTTTCCAAAATACTCCAGACACAACGGAGTCCAACGGATTGGTATCCGGAGGTTTTTTGGTGGCCATTGTGCGCTGGAAATGAAGCGAGGAAGCTCATTTTGTAACCATTCTTGGGTGGCGATGATGCTGAGTTCTGTTGGAATGTCCAAGGTCTGTGGCCAAAATGTTTGCGTGCCCAAGGCTTTAATACACCCTCCAGAATATTTTCGCGATAAAATTTTGCATTTATTCAGATGGCACGGTCGATTAATACGAGCGGCGAGCGTCCATCGGCTGTTATGGCGGCTCACACCATCACCATGGCCGGCGCTTTAGGTCTGATGGCCAACCGAAGGTGCACATTTTAAGCTGACCCCTTTGATTTTAGCAACATTATTCACCGAAATTGTTTTAAATTTAGTATTTGAAGTTCGTAATGAATACTACAGCCTATGACAGAAAATTGTCTGTGCAGATGCACGCCCTCGTATAGCCCCCATATAATGGCTCCTCCCTATTTTCGGTATTTTGATGATTTTAGCTGCATTATTCACCGGAATTGTTTCAAATTTGGTATTTGAAGTTCGTAATGGATACTACTACCTATAACAGAAAATTGTACCTGCAGGTCCACTTCTTCGTATAGCCCCCATATAACGATACCTCCCGATATTCGGTATTTTGATGATTTTACCGACATTATTCACTGGAATTGTTCCAAATTTGGCATTTGAAGTTCGTAATAAATACTACAGCCTAAGACAGAAAATTGTATCTGCAGGTCCACTTCTTCGTATAGCCCCCATATAATGGTACCTCCCAATATTCGGTATTTTGATGATTTTAGCGACATTATTTATCGGAAATGTTTCAAATTTGGTATTTGAAGTTCGTAACGGATACTACAGCCTACGACAGAAAATTTGCTGTGCAGGTCCACGCGTTCGTATGGTCCTCATATAAAATGGTACCTTCCGATATTCGGTATTTTGATGATTTTAGCGACATTATTTATCGGAATTGTTTCAATTTTAGTATTTGAAGTTCGTAATGAATGCAACAGCCTATGATAGAAAATTTGCTGTGCAGGTCCATGACTTCGTATAGCTCCCACATAATGGTACCTCCCTACTTTCGGTATTTTGATGATTTTAGCGACATTATTCACCGGAAATGTTTCAAATTTGGTATTTGAAGTTCGTAATAGATACTACAGCCTATGACAGAAAATTGTCTGTGAAGGTCTATGTCTTCGTATAGCCCCCATATAATGGTACCTCCCGATATTCGGTATTTTGAAGATTTTAGCAACATTATTCACCGGAATTGTTTTAAATTTCGTATTTGAAGTTCGTAATGGATAGTACACCTTCATACAGAAAATTGTGCGTGCAGTTTCACGCCTTCGTATAGCCCCCAGATAATGGTACCTCCCGTTATTCGGTATTTTGATGGTTTTAGCTACATTATTCACCGGAATTGTTTCAAATTTGGTATTTAAATTTCGTAATGGGTACTACAGCCTGTGACAGAAAATTCTCTGTGCATGTCCACGCCTTTGTATAGACCTCAATATAACGGCTATATTCGGTATTTTTAGGATTTCAACAAAATTTCTAGTGGATGTTACATTTTTTTGAAAGTTTCAAAATTCGTTTCAAATGTTGTAGGGTATTCAAAGTTCGGCCTGGCCGAAATTACTGCTTTTTTGCTTATTAGACGTTACTTCCATGTTGGGCGCCACAAAATTCATCAGAAAATTAAAATGTTAAGGTGGGAATACATAAACAACAGTCGATGATTGGTCGAAATGGATGAGGCCGTTGTATGGGGGCCATACCAAAACGAGAACCTCTATTGACAATTTTATATTTCAAGGGTTTTCATCTGGCCGAAATTACTGCTTTTTTGCTTGTTAGACGTTACTTCCATGTTGGGCGCCACAAAATTCATTTCAATTTCATACCTTTCAGATTTGAACTGGCCCATTGGACTATTTCCTCCAACCTCAAAGATTTCTTACCCACCATCAATAAAGAAAATGTCCTTGCAGCATAACAATGATGTCAAGTTATTAAACTAATCTATAGATCTTTCACATATCTCTTTTACTAAAATAAATTGATTGTATCTACACACACATTCAAATCCCACACAATCAACTAAACATTGTCTTGCATCTTTACCAATAGGTCAGGTCATAACAGGCGAGGACAAATCCATAAACACACACACATACACACAAAGTTAACATGTGTATCTATGTTCTATATATACCATCAATTTTTTTATTGCATTGGATGATGGCATCGATCGAGATTAAAACAAAAAACGCTCGAAAACACAATAAATAGTCGTATAAACTTTGTTATTTGTTCGTATTTTTTGCTGGCAATTCCATTGTTTATTATGTGCTGCATTCGACCTCAAACCAGTGTTGATTACTATCGCAATGTGATTTTGATGAACGGAAAAGGACAAACGGAAAAAATCCAAGTGACTTGAAAACAAATAAAACTACACCATTACCCTGCGAAAAATGATGGGTGATGGAAAAAATTTAACCAGAAATGGAATTAAAAATTTTTAAAACTACTCTAAACAAACACAAATCCTGCGGCATTATACCATGTTCCCATGGTACAATTACAGAGGTGATCTCATGCAATCACACGATTACAATATTGTTATTTGATGTCCCTACATTGTAAATGTTATATATTGTGGTTCTCCCTTAGATATGGGCGTACGACTGGCAAAATATGTAAATTTTCTACCGACCAAATATTTTGTTACCCCTTTTTTAGAGCTTCTATCGAGGATAAATATAATCGAAATCAGAAAATAAAAATGTTATGGTGAGAATACATAAAATGCTTTTTTGACTGGCTTAAGTTATCGACTGGCTTCTTCAGAAAGGAAGAAAGGAGTGTAGGGCCAAAATCGAACTAAATCAACCTAAAACTCCTTTTTTCCCCTACGAAGAAGCCAGCCGATGACTGTAGCCAGTTTTGTGGTTCTTCCTTAGATACGGGCGTACGACTGGCAAAAAATGTATTTTTTTTTACCGACCAAATTTTTTGTCATGCCTTTTTTATACCCTCTATCAAGGATGAATATAATCTTAAAACAGAAAACTAAATTAAGGTGAGAATACATAAAACGACGTTTTAACTGGCTTAAGTCATCGGCTGGCTTCTACGTAGAGGAACAAAGGAGTTTTAGGTTTACTTAGTTCGATGTTGATCCTAAGCTGTTTTTTCTCTTCCAAAGAAGCCAGTCGATGATTGGTCGAAATGGGTGAGGCCTTTGTATGGGGGCCATACGAAAACGGGAACCTGCATTGACAATTTTATACTTCAAGCGTTGACATCTATCAAATCTTCTTAAATACCAAATTTGAAACAATATTATTAAAATACCGAATATCGGTGGGTATCGTTATGTGTTCGCTATAGGAAAACGTGAAAATGTTCTGCCACCGGAGCAAAAACCCATTATGAACTACAAATACCAATTTCTAGACAATTCCGTGGGAAAATGTGGCAAAAATCATCAAAATACCGAATATTGAGAGGTGCCGTTATATGGGGGCTATATCAAAAAAGTGGACTCATACATACAATGTTTCGCCACAGGAGTTAGAACCCATTGCGAACTACAAATACCAATTTTTAGACAAATCTGTGAAAAATTGAGGCGAAAATCATCAAAATACCGAATATTGGAAGATACCGTTATATGGCGGCTATACCAAATCATGGACCGATATATGTGATTTTAACTACCAATCATCCTAGACATAATACAAATTGTTCTGCCAAATTTGAAAGCTCTACGTCAAATAATAAGGGCTGTATCGTGATTTCAACAGACAGACAGACCGAAGGGAATCGTTAAATCCACTTAGAATGTTATGCTGATTATGAATATATATATACTTTATGGGTCTACTATTCTTCGTAGACCCCATATAGTATTTAGGGATGTTACAATCGGAATGACAAAGTTAATATACCTTCATACCCTTTTCAAGGTGGAGGATATAATGAAGAGAAGATGGTCTGACCTTTTGCTTATCGGACAGTACATATGTAAATGAAACTTGTAATAAAGAAAAACAATTTATTTGTCCGACAACATTATTTTGTTATCTATCGGAAAAATGTAATAACCGGCCCACTTTTTTATTTTTGTAAAATATGTCACTTGTCATACGTAAATATTTAAGATATAAATAATTTTTCGTTGACAAATGACAAGGTCGACTTCTTTGGAAAAGGGTTGCCATATTCGATTTAGCAAACGACAACTACTTTCATGATTTTGCAATGCATGTCTCTGGCAAAATTATG